GGATTCTGAGTTCAAGGCCAGCCTGATCTAAGTAGTGAGTTCCAGGAGAGCAAGGGCTACATAGAGACACCCTGTCTCCAAAAACAAAAACAAACAACAACAAAACAAATGGGGGTGGCAGAGAGTTTTATAATTAATGTGCTTTTGGTGCCTATGAGATTTTGATCAGCAGTAGCTAGCCAGACATGCACATATATGTATAATCCACATTATCTTTCCATATATGTGTATGTGAAGTTGCAGCTACTTGGAGCACTAGCCTGCACCATAGACCAGCATGCCCTCATCCTGAGTCTGTGTAGATGTCCCCTACCACAGCTGATACTCATGGAGAAAGAAGCTTCTCTAGCTGGAGCTTGCCTCACCCCATGGCCTGTCAGCTGCTGACGTTCAAGGTCAGTGGGAATGCTTACCAGGCCTGTGCTAACACCAAGTTTGGATTCTGCTGTATATATGGCCTGGGTATCTGACTGTATCCTCTGTACAGTGTAGACTTCATGGAACCATGCGATGGTGCTCACAAACCAAGCGATCCTATCCCTTACTGTGTGGCTGCAATGTTAGAGTTGCTCTCTGGGCCTTCATTGGATGAGGAACTTAAAGGTGCTCTTGTCTTCAAACCCATACATTTTAACATTCTCAGTTTCAGTTTCTGCTTCATTCTCCAGACTGACTACCTTGTGTCACTGACAGTTTTCACCTCTGTGATCCTAATAAAGTTCTTAGGTACATGAAGCCTCTGCATCCTGCAAAGAACTACTCCTCAACACTTGGTTGCTATCAGGCTCCTACTCAAGGCTTCCCGGAGACCCACTGAGGAGTGCCCTGGCCATGCTGTCCTGCTTCCCACTTGTGCTTCATAGCCACTGTTGCTCTCACCGTGAGCTGCCAGGCTGCCAGGCTGCCAGGCTACACTGCTCAGATTTTCTCTTGGGCTTCTGTGCCTCTCAGGGGGATTCAGTACTGGGATCTCTGGTTAGGATCTATAGGAAATGGTTTCTCAGACAAGAAGTCTTTCTCTTCAAACCAAACAGAGCTAGTTGAGGCAGCTTCTGCCTGTCATCCATGCAATGCCTTGTCTGTAATCCATGCTGGTTCTGACTTTACAGAATTTCCTGTTCATCTGGTTGACATAATTTTAATTCCTGTGTGTACTGAATGCCATGCATTTTCTACAAGAGCTCTTCTTAAATCCCTTAATTTATACATTTATATTCCTTAGTGAAATGTGAGATCTCTATATCCCCTTTCACTGACCCTCCTCCCAAATCTGTTTCTCCCTCATGACTTTAAGATGAAAATACCTGACCTCAAATGTAACATCACATATGTACTATGTGGTGGTAGTCAAATCAACTCCCTGTTTTCCATAGTTGTAGGACGAATTCAGTTCCTCTGCCTTGACAAATTCCTAAGTTTTGTCTGGGAGGCTGAAATGAAGGAATAAGTGCATGTGTTTGGTAAGCATTTGTGTACTCTTCACTGTGTGTATCGGGCACCACAATAAGGTTTGGAATAACTTGGTGACAGGACACAGTCCTCATGCTGTGGCACCAGTGTTACAGTTAGAACACACACTGGATGAGCAAACACGTTCAGCACTACAGGTTCCTGCAGAAGACCCTATGAAGCAAGTGACTGCTCCAGTGACTGGGAGCAATGGGGAATGAGGTACTTCAGACAGAGCTGGGAAAGACTTCTTCAAGAAAGTGCATTAAGAAAGTGACCCTGAGGCTCCACTTATTTGGAAGAAAGCACACTGTGTCCTGGACCACTAAGAAATGCACTCTGTATGTGCTCTCACGTCAGTACATAGTAGCTCCTCTCTGCTCCGGTCCTTCCTACAGCAGGAAAACTCTGCAAAAGGAGCTTCACCAATTTCTGGAACTAGAAGTTTATAAAACCTGGGCTTTCTCGGGAAGCCCCCCTGTTCATTTCTATCCACGTCTTGTATGGCTCCCTTCTCTTCTGGCCTGATGCAGTCCATGTCATCTGCCTGTTGTCTATGCTTCTCTTCTCGGTGCCTCCCATGCCTTTCTACTGCTTCTTTGATCAGCTGCTCGAACCTTAAGCCCATACAGTTGATTTCCAGTTCTCGTTTTGACCCCTAAGGTTTCTTGGGCTGCCTCATTTTCCTGCTAGCCTTCATACCAGAAGCAACTTCTTGTAGGTTCTTCCATAAGAGCATTTTCCAAAATGATCTGACTGATACTGGTTGGGTCAGTGTTCAGTTGTAGTAAGTGCTCATTAAATGTTGAATAAATGAACAGATGGACTGACTGACTCTGAATCTTACCCCAGCCTAACTATAGGGTTGAAATTAGTTCCCCCTACTATTTATCGTGTGTGTGTGTGTGTGTGTGTGTGTGTGTGTGTGTGTGTGTGTGTGTGTGTACATGCACATGTATATTCTTCTCACATGTGAAATCCATATTTTAAAAAAATCTCTCCTTAGGCTAGTAAAATACCTTCACTTCTTCATTGGATTCTATGATTTCTCATTTATTGTCTCCATTTGCTGTGTGTGTAGAATTTTGTCGTTAATCCCAGAGATATCTAAGGGCATTGGTAGTGTTTTTGCTGCTCTTTGTTCATCATCTAGCACAGAGCCCTTTGAAAAGCACTCTCTGTGTGTGAATGCTATTTTGCTAATGATTGTAGCAATAGGTGGTTTCAGGTTTGGGGGGTTTTATTTTCAGTGTTATGAATATTCAAACACATCCAAGTTAAGCAGAAACATTCCAAAGAAAACCTTTACATATAGTAACAAATGACTTTAAGGTTTTTTTTAAATTAACAAATACAATATAATTTGAACCACCATAATCCAAAAATTAAAAGTATTTCAAAATATGACATTTTTGAGTGCCACTAGAAAACTACAAGTGTCAACCACCCCTAACTTCATGTGATGGGTTACACTCAAAAATCATGTACATTAAAAATATTGTCTAAGATTGCCATCAGACTAGGTATATAAATTATATATGAAACAAATGAATTTTATGTTTACATTTAGGTCCAATCCATAATCATTATATGTTTGCAAATATTCTAACAGTTGGAAAAAATTCCGAAGTTTGAAACTCTTTTGCTCCGAAGCATTTAGATAAGGGACACACAACCTGTCCTCCCCTTTGTATAAGCAGAATGTGCTTAGAGTCATGACTGCCAGTCTATTTCAAGAACTGGATCCCAAGAGTTATTAAATGAAAATCCAAATGTGCTTTCAATCAGAAATAATATAACGATCCTCAGTTTTGAACATTCTCTGTCTATCGTCCCAAATATTTAACTAAGACCCAAGGTGGATAAAAAATTCCTGGAATATTTGTTGCTTGTTTTAAATTCTGTAATTCAAAATCATATATAATTTATAGTTTGAATTTCATTTAAGTGTACACAGGGTGTGGGCCCATGTACTTGGGATTCTCTTCAAATAACAATTTAGCTACTAGGATTTTTAGGATTTTGTTGCCCAGTCAGATACAGCTGTGAAGTAGTAGGACAGCATCTCCAGCAAATGGAGGAGGAGTTGTATGTTGAGGAGGCCCCTTGCCTTCGAAGCAGGCACCTGGAAAAGCTATGCATTTATTCCAGTAAAGCCGCTTAACAGTGGCTTAGCCATGGAGTGGAATGCCTCTCCTTAATCTTCTGTTGTAACGCTAAGAACCATAAGGAGTGAAAGGATATATTATTATAAATATCCTGAACTGTGGCAAAGATGAATTTGATTTGAATATGGAACTCTTTATAAGCAAATAAGAATGTCCAAGACCAAGTGTAGTGAACAAAAATATGGAGTCATAATTGGAAATGAGATGGCAGTATGAACTCTCTGGAATTATGCCTAAACTTACTCTGAAAGTGACTGTCAAAGAGGAATATTCCAGAACCCTTACCTTGGAATAAATGTATAAGCTCCTGAGTTAGCTACTGTGGAAGGTAATGTTTATTTAGGTGGAAAAAGAAACAACATGTACATGTTTGCAAAATAAGATCAGTTTTATTACTTTATAGACATACCTTGTAGATGAAAAATATACTCCTATCATGGAACTCTTTATAAGCAAACTTCCGAATGTAAGTAGAATTTCTGTCTCATCCTTTTTAAGTCTGTTGAGAAATCTGAATTTCTAATAACTACTTTGAAAAAAATACCATGGAATCCTTTCTAAAAGCAGATGCTTTGCGTTTCACTTCGCTTCTTTTGGATTAGCTTTGTACCTCTGCTAGTCAGTTTTTTATTTAGTGTATCTATCTTTGTTCCCCCTGAGAGACTCAAAATGTACTTTCTTGCTGTTAAATTATCATCAAGCTATTGAACCAAAGTAGAAAGGAACATCTTTGCCCATGGCTGTTAATTGTTCCACAGTGCTGAGAACTCTTGTTCACGTTGCCTGTAGCAAACGCCTTTCCTTTTTTAAAAAATGGGGCCTTCCTATCTTGGTAAATAAGAGCATCAATTAATTTAGAGAAGGTTCAAATTTTAAAATGTGAGCTAAAGAATATTTCATCCCTGGAGCTCACATTGTATTCGTCCCTCTCACTGCTGAGCGCGTCCCCACGACCGCTACACCATGCTCCAGCCATAAGGAAGGCCTCAGCTGGACTCCTGGCTGAGCATGGGGAGAGGAGCTGGTGTATACTGCTTGATGGGGGCTTTTCCACATCCATTTCATCACACCCATCACCATCCAGGTCAGCCAGGCCTGTTTCTTCATTGCTGAATTGAAATAAAAGTAAAACGGAGCATGGAAGCCAAAGAAAATTGTTATTCTCTCTCAGAGAGGTGAAGGCAGCTTGATCGCGACTTATTTTAAACTTCAAATTTGACACATTGGATTGGAAAATTGTGTGGCCTTTCTAGTTAGAGATCAAAATGGTCAGCAGTTCACACTTTTAAAAAGTCATGGAGTGGTGTTTTTACCACAGACTGGTAGAGTGTTCTTTTATTCTGTCAAGTAGTAACTATTGCACAAATGTCTGTTATTTTGCAGTTCGGTGATTTAAATGCTGTGTCTCCTGGAAATCTGGATAAAGGTAAGAACTGAAAACTTTGAAGGACTTTTGACTGAGATCCTGTGAGAGGAAGCAGCGTGACTGTGCAGCACTCTGGTCCTCTGGATGCAGCAAGCAGACCTGGGTGACAGCAGGAGCCAGCTGTCCTTGGCATCCCTCATGATGTTGCTGTTTGTTTCTTCCATCCATGTGTCTTCTTCACGTGACATGTATTAGATGCAGAAAAGTGAATTTCAGTGCAGTCCCAAACGTCTTTAAACTTTCTCACAGAAGTTCAATATAAATCACAATTATTGACCATGACCAAAATCCTAGAAGTAAATTCTAATATTGGACCAAAAGTTTTTATTCAAGGCCAGGCAAGGAAAAAAATCCCTTAGCTTACCCATCTACTAGTCAGTTAACTTTTCAATGGAAAAGAACAGTGATGTTTATTGTAGCAGTGGTTCAGTTGAGAAGGATGAAGAGGTCAATGCAGGCATTGTCAATCGAGTGTGTGCTGCTACGTATGCACGATGTGCACTCCTGAAGAACCTAATGGTCAATAAGACAATGAACTAAAAAGAATAGGAGGGTCAAAGGTGAGCTGAGTGAGACTAGAACACATAAATCCTACCCAGCTTTATAAGAACAACTTATGAAAATGATGATGCGGTTTTAAATCATAACATGTCTTTCAGTAAAACAACACCACAGTAAATATAGCCATCTTCTTGCTTGGGACTTGAGGAATTGTGATAGTTACTGGATTTTCTAGGGAGAACTACAGTTATACCTTCTAACCAGAGCCTCTGGAGAAACTAAGGCCAGAGGAAGGGCTTGGGAGTCTACAAAGAGATGCAGCACTCTTTACCAAGTGTGCTGCCCATGGTTTCCAGAGTTCTCCTTCTGTGTCTGTTGAGCAGAAAGCATTATGCTGGAGCCATATTTGTATCACCACTCTTTAGATATCCCTCTCTGACAAGTTGCTATTACCACTGTTCTTGGCTTAATTTCCATTTTAGTACCAGAGCGGGTAAATTAGAAAGTTAGACTCCCCCAGCATGTACCACCAGCTTTGGAGGTACAACCTGTGGAATTGCAGTAGTAACCTTCAGGAAAATAGGTGGGTGATTACTTTCCTCCAGCCTTCTTCATAAAGTGAGGAAGGAAAGAATTTGGTCAGCCCCAAGAGTACCTCACTGCAGCTTTTGTGCAACTAAACTCAAGTGGGTTCGCAGAAAGGAGCACAGATGTCTGTAGAATGGCGTTGTTGTCCAGAGGAGCCGGAGAAAGGGCCTGCTTTCCAGATTGCACTGTTGCCTGTCCTAAGGAGCCCATCACTCAGAGAAGACAGACCCAGTCAGATGGATTGAGAACTCTTGAGTGTGTTCAGACTGTTCTCTCAGGGCTATTTCTATATCTATAAGATGGATAACAGGACCCTCCACTCTTCCCATCCCTGGCCTGCTCACATGGAGTTTGCCCTCTTGCTACTGCTTGCTATATGGTTTTGATTGTTTTTCACTTTGGAAAGTGGAGGCCAGAATTTGTGATCTGCCATCACCTTTTTGATGGGGTGCAGCTGGTCTATTTACCCCAAACCCTGGGACTTCCCCAGGCTACAAATGGAACATGAAGTTTTGTGGGTTTTTTTCCACAAAATAAGTTATATCAATGTAGTAAGATTTGGGAGCAAAAGTAAATGTTTTATATGTTCAATTTCCAGAAATGAATTTTAAGTATTTACAGTATTAGTGCTGCCAGCAAAGAAGTCCTTTGTGCATTTTTTAAATCTCACATTACCACTTCATTATTTAGCTTTTTCTTAGCAATTGAATTAAGAATTTATTCAATTGGTGTTAGCTGTCTGTAGAGCAATAGTTACGCAGTAGTAATATCATGAGTCATAGTGCAGTAGTTTTTCTGTGGAACAGCACAGGCCTCATCTACATTAAGTCAGCATAGACAAAACATAGTCTAAATTTTTGTGTGCCCTCCCCCAAGACCAGTATAATATGCCAAAGTGACTACTTTATGATGCCACAAGTCATGCCATTATTCAATACAGAAATTTTATATAAAATTCCAAACATCTGAAAGAATTGTGGCTGTTTCACTGTAGCACTGAGGGGAAGAAAATCCCAGGAGAGGAAAGCCAGCAAGCTTCCTCCCCTAGGGAAAGCTGAGGATTCTGAGTGAGCCGGTATGCTCAGGTGACTCTGACGCGTGTGTTGATGTCTTCCGGTGGTGTGTGTTTGTGCAGATGAAGGCAGTGAAGTAGAAAGTGAGATGGATGAAGACCTGGATGATTCTTCTGAGCCTCAGGCCAAAAGAGAGAAAACAGAGTTGAACCAGGCCTTCCCCGTCGGCTGCATGCCGCCGGTCCTGGAGAGTGGTGTGCAGCCCAGCCTCCTGAGTCCCATCCACAGTGAGCACATCGTCACGAGCACTCAGACCATCCGGCAGTGCAGCGCCACGGGCAACACGTACACCGCAGTCTAAGGGCAGCAGGAAAACCGGTTTTCCAGCTTCTTTAACCCCACTGATACTGGGCTTACGCTGAGAGTTTAACAAGCCTGAAGGTTGACTGTTGTCAAAAGTCTTTCTGTGCTGAACATTACCTTTTTGGAGTTGTGAAATGGAATGGGTGTATGTATTTTTCCAGGTCTTTTTTTTTTTTAACACAAATTATTTGCCTTTTAATAATAAGAGTTTCTCCCCCACTTCCCTTAGTTTCAGGTGTCAAGAAGGATTTTTACAACACGTAATGTCATTGTTTTTGTTTTCTCATAATTAAAAAGTAATTTACATTTTGTAGCTTAAAATATTTTATTGTTGATTGTTAGTCTTGGTGTATGATTTTATGTGTAAGTTTTTTAATTAGATGCACTTCTGTGAAATATCAAAAGAAATGAATTTCTTTGATTTACACTGGAGGCATGCCCATTTGGCAGCAGATGCATCAAATTTGCTTCTGAAAGGTGCTTTTCATTGGACAGAACCATGAGACACTATTTTGATAACATTTTGGAGTACAGAGAGAATACAGAGCGTTTTTATTATAGTGCTAGAGGGTTGGGAAGGTCATCTATTTTTCTCTGAAAAAAAATGAGCTGTGCATTTATCAGTTCAGGGTAAATGACAGAATGGCAAGAGATTATGCTAATATGTACATAATTTGTGTACATAACTATTACACCATGTTAACAATGCAAGCTTCCGTTAGGCATCGACTTTTAACTATTACTTGCATACCAGTTCCTCTGTGTAAAGACTACTGATTCTGTATTGGGACCACTGCACAGATGCATTCTGCTCTTAAGTGGGGCTGTTATAGTTAGATACTGAAGCTGAAAAATGACTTGACTTTTTTTTTTAAGTGTACATGCTACTTATACTGAGCTGGACATACAGGAAACCATTCCATTTGAATGACTTTCTTTTATTCCAGGTCTTTTTTCTAATAGTAGTTCAAAATGCTGCTATTATAAAAGAAAATGTATAGAATGCAAGGAATGTAGCGCCCTGCATATTGTTATTTCCTGGTTTCTAAAGTACATGGATTTCAATTTTACACAGAACCTGAAGGCAGTGTGACTGGCACACCTCACTGTTGCTGACCCCGATTCTATAGGATTTGGATAGGTGGCTGGATGGACCATTGCCATTGAAGAATGTACATCAGGGATCATCGTACCTCGGCTATTACATGGTGCCTTAAAACAGAACTGAGCTAAGGTTTAGTAAGGTTTATTTTGTTCGTGTGAATAACTCTTCAATCCATTTGGTAAAGTGTGCCTGTCATGCTCAGATTCCTGAAGTAAGGACAGGCCACATGTTCTTCAAGGGGAATTTAGGGGGAAATGAAGCAAAACAAAGAGACAAAAACTTCAGTTTCTCTCTGAGTGACTGTGAGTGGACTTGTCTATGTTTTATCCTTGGAGCTGAATATCACTTGATTATAAATCAGATTGCTAAGGGTGTGGACTAACAGGCTAGTTTTCATACAAACATTTTACATAAAGATCGTATGTTGTAGACCATTCTTATCTAGTTACAATTCTGGAAAGCTAACAAAAAAAGCAGGTACTTATTGAAGTGCATCTTTTCAGTCTAAATGTCTGTCTGTGTGTCAGGTGTCTCTGTATAAACACACACACACACACACACACACACACACACACACACACAGGCACTCACCCATGCATGCATGCACACACATGGAGCAGGAGTCTGCTACAGTCAGAAGTGAGATCCTAAAGAGCACAGGCTCATCACATTTTATTTTGCATGAAAAGCCAAGGTTCTTTTAAGAATTCAACCATCATCAACAACAACAACAACAACACAGGACACATCCTTTCGTTTAATTAACTATAAAAGTAAATCAGTGAAAGTCAATAAATAACAAAATCAATAAAGCCAAAAAAGGAAAGGAAAGCACAAGATGATGTATAGATCACGACTGAGGCCTATATCAAACTGAAGACTTCATCTTTCCAGTTGGGTTGGGTGAGGGGTGTGGTTGAGGAGATGAGGCTGCACCAGTCTGGAAAGTTAAAGATACCAAATGGCTTATCAGGAAACACAGTGTATTGAAACTGTTCTTGCCTGATTGATTGTCTCAAACTTCTGAACATCAATAGCATTTCTGAAGTAAAATTAAAATGTCATAAATATAATTTTTAGTGGATTCTGATTTTATATCGAGCAATTTACTTGAGTCTTCACTGGCATCCAAGCATCACTTCATTTACTGAAGATCCCCAAAGGCAATGAATTTGCACCCCCCTCCCCTGCATAATCTATCATACGCTACAAAAGACCATGGATCTACTTCATTGCGAGTTAGAAAATGTTTACACATAAAATTTCAATCATAACAGAACTCTCTTCATTTTAACTATCCCTCCTGAGGTCTTTCAGTCTCCTGTCTCTACCGGTCATCCCCAGATGACATCATGTCTGTATTGGACCAAATGTATTTACTGGTTTCACTGTGTTTATTGGTTGATTTTGAATGTATTTGTATCACTGTTTCATTTAACCTAATGTCGGGGATACTCGTATCATGAAAGGAATCTGCTGACAATGGACAGATGTAGATTCGTGAGAGTGAGGGACTGAGTGGCCCTCCAGATTTCATCATTTCTACCAGTTGTTCATGGTTTGTTCTAAATTAGGACAGAGTAGAACGTAATTATTACAGTTGGAACTGACTCTAAAATATTCTGGAATCTTATATAAATATTTAGGAACATTAATCCTTTTACACCAGTGTAGATAGGTCTAACCAATACACACAACAGAATACCTATGGCTTATGACACTTCTAATTATTTGTAGTACACACTTGCACACACATCAATTTTGGATTTGAATTGTGAAATATATTAGAAAACAAAAACAGTAATTAAATGCAGGCATAAATTAGAATAATCAAATTTGTTGTAGTTATTTAACATTTTGTTTCCATTTTCCATTCACTGAAACTGGCTTTTCTAAATATCAGCCACTACAATGAGACTTCATTGTAGACTGATTGACATAATACTCATTTTAAGGACTTCTGGTATTTCTTGGCATTGTAATCAAATGCTAGTCTTGAAATACACGAGTATGAACCAAGTGCTACACTTCCAGTGAGGAAAAGGGGAGAGAGGTGCATGAGCTATTGGTATATTTCAGAAGAGATATTTCCATGTAATACAATTGAGTATCATAGGTATAGTTTAATATCAGTAAATACTTTGAGAATTATAGCCAAGAGATTTGCGCTTCCAAAACCAGTGAACAATGGGTGGAATGGGTGAAATTTCTCCTGGGAACACAGAGCCCAGTTTTTGATTTGTTTCCTTTGGATATCAAGTTACTAATAACTTCAGGATTTGTATCCAAATCATGTTTGGATTGACTGTATGAGTCTTACTGCCTTTTCAGAAATCTGCGTTCCTTTTTGTGATTTTCCTTGTACTGTATAGCACGGTTCATGCACCTCTCTTTAGATGGTGTACTTTAAAAACAGAAATAAAATACACCAATGGTTTTCTCGCTGCATACCTAAAGTCAGTAGTGTGCAACATGAACTGCCTTTGATTTGTAGTAGATGTTCAAAGATGAACATGTTCTTGCAGAATGCTGTAGAAGTCAGTCAGGAGTGAGCACAGCTTCCATGCTGTCATCGTGGGCCTTTTTACATGGACACACTCTCTACAAGTGTTTAATGCATTTTCAGTTTTTAAAAGATTATTATATTATTATTTGAAATGTCTAAAATAATGCTGTGCTTGAAACATCTGTTTAAACAAAGTGTGTCACTGTGATGGTCCTCATTGCGTGGACACAGTAGGAAGTGAAAAACTTGACTAGTCACATTTGTACACGAGGTAAGGCAGTGGTTATATATAACAGATTGACTTTGTCATAACCTCCCCCTCCCCAAATTCTTTTGAGCAAACCAAACTATCCAGAAATGAAAATCAGAAGTCTTCTGATCTCTGTGGATCACATCAGAGTATGGGGGAGGAGGGCTGGCATGCAGTGTTGTTGAACATCGGGCTGTGACTGGATCAGAGCAACCTCCATGTACATGGTTGACAAACCCATTAACAGAACCCTAGTGTTTCTGCGAGTCTGGTGATTTTCAAAGACTGGAATTGAAGCATCAATTCAGTGCTTAGTTCTGGTCCTGGAAAAGCTCTTTGCTGTAATGCCTTGTATTAACCCTTTGAGCATTGTAAGATATACAATGGGGGATGAAAGCCTTCCAGATCATTTATTTAGACTTAAAAAAGTAAAATAGCCTCTATATCCAAATGTCTAATTACACTGTTTTTTAAAGGGGGGTCAGAAAAGAAAGTGTCTCCATTCCGAACACTTGCATTTTATATACAACTCTTAATTTTACTTCAAGAGGGCTTAATATATTTATTCCCAAATATTCACTGCCATCTAAGTAAGTGTACTGTTTACAGAAGACAAAATCAACTTTTCTAGCATCACATGACTCTCTAGAAAAGGAGGACACATACATGGGCCTATACAGACCTATGTTGTAACTGATTTCTGCACACTGGAGGTACCTGATTGCCTTTAAAAGGTATGATAAAATAAGGGTTACATTTCTTCTTTTCTCCCAAAACAAAAGATCTCATTTATTTAGCTTTAGAAAATACAAGTGTAAGTGAAGCCTTAGGAAGAAATGAGTTCCACTGAACACAGCTGAACTCGGGACATTTAGGCTCTTTGGAGTTGCATCTATCATAAAATATTATTTGGAAATTCATACGGGGCATAATTTTACCTATGCTCCAAAACGTTAATACTAATAAGACAGAGAGAGACAGAGTGGCGAGCAAGGCACTCACTTGCTCTAAGCTCTTCTGTCAGGAGCTGCTGTGACTACTGCTTCAGATATCTCTGAATGTCATTCTGCTTACGACATTGCTGATTTCTTGGAGGGAATTTCTGGACAGTTGATCTGGTCCTCCCCTGTGTGACAGAGCACAGAGTGGTGTTGTCTGCAGATGTGCCTGCGCCGCCCTCGCCCGGTGCACACACAGGAGCGTAACCTATTCCGATGTCTGCTGGACATCTGTAGCATAGTGCAAGTGTCCGCACGTTGCTTCTTAGGCAGTTGAGGAAGTCAGACCATGCAAATGACTCATGTGTTAACACGCAATACTCAAAGGGTTTTACTTTAGCTCTCCTCTTTTGAATCTTCATGATGATTTACTGTAAATGCTTCTCAGTTTGCATGCCTTGCCCATTGCTGCTAGTGATTTTATGTGCCAGTAGACCTGAGTTTAGTTTACCAATTTTACTTAAATAGTAAAAGCCGCTTACAAAGTGACTGCCTAGGATTGATTCTCCTTTTGTTTAAAGGGATTGGTGATACGTCTTTTTAAAAGAAATGTTTTGTCTCTTCTATTTGGTTCTGATATTTGAATCTTTTCCCCCTCTTTTCTTTGTTTTCTTTCTTTCTTTTTTTTTTCTTTTAAATAAAGTATGACGTTGGGATTGGAAGCCCTGAGTAATGAAATATTTGGTAAGAATCATTTATGTAGCTCAATAATGATGATAACAAATATCTGTGAGAAGTTTGATTCTGGGGAGGAAAGCAAAAATAAAACTCTGATTGACTTTTGATGACCAAGTAAATTTTCCTGGAATAAATTATCATTTCTGAACAAATGATTGCCTTGTTTTAGCCTACCATACTCAATTTTATATGATCTGATAAGGAAGGTATTAAATTTTATTCGTTTAAAAACATCTTTTGTACCGAAGCAGATTCTTTTCTCTGCTCATCTCCATCATCAATTTGGACCTGTGGTGGCGACCAATGAGTTGGTTCCAGAAACTTACGTGAGTGCCTTGAGAACACTTGGGAATTTGTGCCTGAGGTGGTAAACTTTTAATTAGGTTAATTGTAGCGCTTACCAATCAGTAACTCCACTATCACTCAGGGCTTTCGTACCTTCTAGGTAAAACTTCTTTCATTGTGTTTTTTTTAAATACTGTATTTTTTTTAAGTGCCATCATTTAAATTTCACTTAGTAAGTGGCAGATTACATTCTTCAGTCCCACAAGCACACAACATAGGAACACTAGGAGATATTTGAGCATTTATTTTACAATCGACTGAATATATTATGTAAATGAGGTAAGCAACTTTTGTAGAGATTGTATGTGTGAGATAATGTAATGTTCTTTTCCAGTTTTTGGACTACAGTTGAATAAACTTTTTAATTATTTAAAAACATCTTTACCGAATAACATGTGATGGTTTTTTGTATAATGTATTTGATTTTGTAAATACGTATTTCCTGATGTGATTTTTGTGAGAAACGCTAAATCTTTTAGTATACCATGTCCTCTCAAGATTGGCGGGAGCTAAATACTAGTTTGTGGGCGATTTGTATTGTGTACTGTACAATAACTGGGGAACTTTTATAATTATAAAAATATATATTAACTTTTAGTGTGTTGTTTAAACAAATGACTGGAACATACTAAAGATATTAGTAGGATTTTTTCTGAATATTTCAGACTTGAACTCAGGCTAGCTTTCTTGTGTTTTTCAAAACAAAATGGTGTCTTGTCTTTTAAAAATCAATAAATTTGTTTCCTTGTTACAAACATTTGGAATGGCTGGTTTTTCCCCCTCAAATCCTGTCAGGGAACTTGTGCCACACCCCCTCCTCTAGAGGGGACTCTGGGCCATTCATTAGCTTAGAAACAAAATGAAGTTGTTTTCCTTCTTTGTGTCAAATGAAATTGGCAATATTTACACATGAACAGCACAGAAAGAGAAAACAAAATTATAGGCCCAGCAGGGTACAAATCTTACCCTCAAAGAAAATTAGTGATTGAGTGCTGCTTGATTTAGAAGCTGTCAGCATTCCCATTGTAAATCCAGATTTCTGCATGTTCATAATGTGTTTGTTTTATGTCATTTCGCATTGATAGCTGGCATTCAAGTTCCTTGCTTAAATTGAAATAGCTTATTAAAATTCATTTTAATGCACTTAAGAAGATACCCCTGCCCATTTTTTTCTTTGAATATGTACAGAAAAAATTCTTGGATGCACATTTGTGGGAGTGATGAATGAAAATCCTGTAGTCACTATCATAAAAAAGGTTAAACATTAATATTTTTTAACCTTTCTAGCACTGAATTGTTTTCAGATCATAGTATCTATAGTTTTCTAAAGTGGGGAATAGCCAACTTTGAGGGTTTCCTTAAAAAAGAAATAAAAAGGAGATACTTGTTATCAACTGTAGTCGATAGTAAAGTTTTGACATCTTAGTTCATAGCAAGTCCAGACTACTACACTCGTGTGTGTGTGTGTGTGTGTGTGTGTGTGTGTGTGTGTGTGTGTGTGCATGTGCGTGTGTATACATGGCTGTGCGGGTCCATGTACATACCAGAACATATTTTCCTACCAGACCCTCTTGTCACCAGTCTTTCGATCTTGTTTTGCTCAGACCCCTGACTGTTTCGTCATTAGCCACTTATTCACAATTTTGCCTGGCAGTCAGGTCACCATTCCATGTAAGGACGACAAAGAGACAACTAACTCACAAACCTGTGGCCTCTTGGGGGAACCCTGGACAGCACTCTCTTCCCAGACCACTTCCTGACTCAGAGCTGTAAAGCAACGTGAGCCAAAGGCTAGCCTCAACTGCTTACCCATAGACTAATGAATGAGAAACAAGTCATTCCTCCTTAGTTTCTCAACTCGCGGGGGCAGATGTGGGTATGAGCCCCCGCTCCGGATCCAAATCACCTGCATGAGACTGCAGTACTTACGAGGTGTGTGGCAGGTGCCTCCCACGTGGATACTGTGCTTGGATCTGTTTTTATTACTAATTGTGCAACAGCAGTCATGTAAAGTGGGCTTGTCTTGTCATTTCCAGGTAGAAATGTCACTATATTGGAGCTCGGTCAACTTACCAGGGGTCATATTTATCCATGATCAAGTAAGTTGTGCCAACAGAATCTATCCTTGATCTTAATTTCTTTTTAATATCCTCAAAAGAACTCTTGATGGCAGCGCAGAATTTATTTTCTCATCCGCTCGTTTTTAAATTTCCAGGAGGTAAAATTATTTCCTCTAGATGCACAGATGCTCCTGAGATTTTTTTTTTCTTTATGCATTCAAAAAATAGCCATTGACTCGCCAAGAGTTTCTTTAAAACTTCCAGCTACTCCAACAACATTTGGGGATAGAATGTCTCCGTTTCTTTCTGCAGACTATTTTTAGAATCAGCTCATGTGTCTTTGCAATTGTCTTGCCTCTAAACTCAGATTGTCTGCACCTCACAAAACACTCCGCTTTGTTAGCAGTTCTGCATTATAAGGCTCTGGGCGGTGGGAAGTGTGATAAGCCTATGCAGTACTGCAGAGCATAGAGTGCTTGTGTAGGGGGAGGGGACAGTTATTTATGTTAGGGTTTTTTGTTTTTTTAATTTAACAGAAATTTGTAAATACCCATACCAGAAGATCTCACAGCATATCCACCTCTATAAAATGTGGATTTCTGATATTTACAGAAAAATCAGATAATCTGCCAATAGTAATCTCGAGCAACTAGGTTTGTGTCCTCACTGCCCTGATACACTTGCTGATTGCAATTTTCTTCACTCTGGCACCTGCCTCACCCTTCAGGCATGGAGGTGTGGGCTCATTCCTCACCTTCTGTGGGTGTTGGCACTTCTTTGCTAGATGTGATTTGTTGTTTGTTCAGCCGAGGACGGAAGAGTGGTCCTCACTATGGGAGAGCAGGAGTGTGATCTCAGTGCCTGTCATGGTCTCAGGTAATGTCAAGTCATCCACAGTGGCTGATGTGGGATGGGGGTGAGAAAGAGCCCTATGGTGTGTGCTTTAAGCTGCACAGTTAAGGGAAGCCCCAGCCCTCCCCCGGGGTGCTCAGGCAGTGGCTTTTCTGTCCATAAGCATCTGTTGAGTGGGAGAAAACCATCCTTCCTTCCTCCGACACCTGTTTCAGTCTGTAGCAATTGAAATCAGTGCCTTTTAATATTTCATTTCAGGTCTAACCAGGATTTCCTGTCCAAAGGCAGGAATATAGGAAGTTTTGAAGGAACTGGTCTCCCATACCTAATAATTCTACCTCTAGAGAAAGACAACCTCTGAGGGGAGCAGCCTGAAGAGATTGCCTTGGACGAGTCTATTATTAGTCCAGTTGTTCAAATCCTGTGTACCTCAGCTAGCTGCACTGGCGCCGTTCACAGAGAGGCACTGGTCATTTAACTCGGGGTTTTTCACAAGTCTGGCAATCGCTTTCCGACAGCTGGTTCTTTACTTACACAAGTGATAAAGAGGAAGAAGACCAGGTGCCTTGTTAATGCCTTCCTGTTGCTTCATTCAAGGAGGAAAGCAGGCGTCAGTATTGTATATGACAGAGTTGGAAACGTTCCCATGAAAACAAAGATCTCAAAGAGAAGGCTACTAGCTTGAAAGTGGACAACTTTTTTTTTCTTTTCCTTTTTTTCCTTTTCTTTTCTTTTCTTTTTTTAATTGAGTCTTTTCATGCAAGGTCCAAAGAGTCTAAAAGAAAAGATTTCAGAAACGCTACCAAAGAGGTAGTGCCTGTCCTTATGGAAGACCTATAGAGATGTCAACATGCTTGACTTCATAGAAATGGGACTGCCATTCAAAAGTCTCCTTCCTTTTATATCTGATCTAGTGACAGAGGATGTTGATGTTGATGAAAAACAACATGGACAAAATTGAGGGACAAGATTCAGATTGAAGTCTATGGAATCCTGAGCAGATTTCCAAGGAGACTTTCAGAAAAGAGTTCATCACGAGAATTACGTGTAAGAGAGCGAGGCAAAAGAAATCATATGTCCCTACCATGTGTTCATTCTGATGTTCCAGAGAGGAAAGGGTTACCAGCTGGTCTGAGCATCTCTCCTCCAGCTAAAGGGTTGGCCCTTGGTTAACTGTCAGTGTTACCATCCACATAGTGCTATCATGTACCAAATACTGATTAAAGAATGTTCCAGAGAATGTTGTATTTAGCTGCAAAATTGTTTTGTGTATAACTTACAACTCGTAAGATTTATCCACACTCCAGAGGGGACTTAGATGACAAACAGTATTTAGGTTGAAAGACTCCTAGCACAGTAGATCTCTATGCTGATCAAACCAGGTTTGCATCAGCTTATTGCCAGCTCTAAGAGAGAGCATCCCAGGCTTGATGGGCAGGCCAGAAGCTGTATCTCTGTTGTCTCCTCAGAGATGAAGATGTATTTTGTTCCCCAGATAAAAGGAAAAGCTTGATAATGGAAAAACTTAAAAGAAAATACTGTGTCCAATTAAAATAAGTTCAGAAAAGCAAAAGGAGAAAATATAGGGGAAAATTTAAAATACAGGGTTGAAAAATTGAAAAATTAATGATAAATCTTGTAAGCAATGCATGAGGTATGAAAACATTGACTGAGAAAAACATAGTTAGATAAATCTTAAATAAAATGTATGAAAAATTAAACTGATAGGTTTTACTTCAAAAATAAGTTCTTGGATGCTGAAGAGATGGCTCAGTGGTTAAAAGCAATAGATGCTCTTCCAGAGGACCTGGGTTCAATTCCTAGCACCCACTTGGCAGTTCACAACCACTCATAACTCTAGTCCTAGGGGATCCAATGCCACCTCCTGGCCTCTGAAACAACAAACAACCGTTGCAAGCAAGATGTCCATACACATGAAATAAATAAACTTACTTTTTTTTCTTTTGAACGACATTGTTAATAGACAAATACCAACTAGAAGTCAGTTTTCCTTCAGCTTTGGCATGTATTCTGAGATGACAGAATTCAAGAATGTCCCATAAACTGTTGTATTTGCCAAAAGATTGTTCATCATGCAACTTGCAAAGTGTGAAATTTAGCTATACTGTAAAGAGCACTTCTCAAACTGTGGGTCACAACCCCTTTGACAAACCTCTATCTCTAAAAATATTTACATTATGATTCATAACAGTAGCAAAATTACAGTCATGAAGTAGCAACAAAAAATAATTTTATGGTTAGGGGTCACCACAACATGAGGAACCATATTAAAGGGTTGCAGCATTAGGAAGGTGGAGAACCATTACTATAGAATGAGATTGCATTGAATGGTAAACACAGTATTTAGGTTGAAGTGTCCTATACACCCTAGCTTTCCTATGCAGATGAACCCTGTTTTGTATCAGCTTATTGCCACATTTATTCTGGAAAAAAATCTTTTCTAATACATTTATTCAGCAGAAAACTAGAAGATAGAGATAATGGCTCTCTCTAGGGAAGAAGGTACTTGATCCTTAATAATGCCCCTAAGGGGAGGTTTTAAGTGGGAATAGGGAGTGGAGAGTGTATGTTAGCCAAAACTAAGCATATACAAAGAGGTCTATGGAAATGCACTAGTTGGTAAGCTAATTTTAAAACATGCTATACAAAAAAGACGGTTGAATGTAAGTACCCTGCATGTGTGGGCAATTCTGCTCCCAGAAGATACTAGTTATTAAACGAAAATCTCAGTACTGGATGAAGGAATACCTCACTATCAGTTATTGGTCAGGGAGGCACCAGAAAACACAGGCTTTTGCCACTCCATTTCTACATGACTGAGG